AGGCTCAGTGGTGATGGTCTGGATGCAGGGGGGGGAAGGGGAGGACTTGGCAGGAAGGGGGCTCCGAATTCAAGGAGTGAGGCTCAGTGGGTGGGGGTTCAGCTGCAAGGGGCTCAGCAGGGGGAGTTCTGAGTGAGGGGGGTAATGGTCAGCAGGGAGGGGTCTGGGTATGGGGAGATGCAGATGAACGGGGATTGGACAGACAGGGGAGCAGCTCCTCATACAGTGACCCCCTTCCCCCGCAGCTTAGGAGCAATGGGAGCAGGAAGCAGAGAAGGTGGGGGTGTACAGCCAAGGGAGGTTTCTGGGGGTGGGTCTGACCTGGCCCAGGCTGCTCCTCGTAGGGGAAGAGGAAGTCCCAGTACAGGGTACGAGCCACCGGCAGGGGCATTGCCAGCCCCACATCCCTCTGGTCATGTACCTCTCTGCTGGCTGCTCTGAGCGCCCAAAACGATGCACCTGCGCTGTTCAGGAGGGGTGCATGACCACTCTTATGGCTTCCCTTTGCTTCCCCATCAGAAGTAATTGTTCTGCAGGGAAACAAAGAAATCTGCAGGAGACATGAATTCTGTGCATGCACAGTGGTGCAGAATTCCCGCAGGAGTAATAAAGAAGAAGCTCAAGCTAGGCTTACATAGGCAGGGTAAGATGAGCAGTTTCTGTGTATTTCTCTAACACTTCCAATTCCATGTTAGATAATATTTGTTCTAAGTGTAAGAAATAAGAATTTATTTCCTCTAAGACTAAGCCTGATATGTGCCACTAAAGTATTTAGAGACCTGATTGCTGTTTCTCACAGCGACACTACATAATTACTATATGCTAGAGGAGGAGTTCTCAGCACAAATTTTTTGGTGACTTCAGAGTGTGGCCACCAACTCTTGCTGGTGGCCACTCTCACACTTTTTCCTAGAACACTTAATTAGCTCTAGGAAAAACAAATAAATATACACATATACATGTCCAAATCATGGTAATTTATTTATTGCTAGCTAGTAAGTCTGCTGTGAAAAGTGATACTTGTATGTGTTTTAATATCACCTTTCACAGCAGACTTACCAGCTAGCATTAAACAAACATACAAGTATCACTTTTCACAGCAGACTTACTCAGCCCTGGCAAGCCTGGATTCTTTAACACCTGATACGATGAAGTTATTTCTATTTAAATTACTAAAAGCTATCTATTGAAGGCTCTAGAAACCCTAGCACACCAATAATAATAAATACAAAGCTATCTCAGCAGTATTGAAATGATCAATTAAACGGGAACTCGGCAGGCCACTTACAAGCTCCTTCTTGCTCTTTCATAGCAGTGGGGAAAACACCCTTCAGCTCTCTCCAAAAACCCTGCAGAGCAGATAGATTTTGCAGTGTGCCCAAAAGATCACTAAATTCAGCCTATTTCAGACCAACAATGGGGGGGAAAAAAAAGAGTCTCAGACTTTTCACTGAGAATTCCCTACTTGCCACTGCCCCTTCTTCTATAATGAGAGGCCTCCAGCTCATGCACCTCTGCTGACCCTAGCTGTAGCAATATGACCCAGGGAGAGAGGCACGCTCTCAGGTAGGCTGACCTAGACTTTATAAGTTATGATCACCTCTTGAGCGCCATCAGGAGAACAACAGACAACCAGTGAAGAGCCCAGAGCATTGACGTCACATACTCCAAATGAGGTGGCCTGCTCAATAAGCACGCCCCTGCATTCCTCACAGGCATTAGGATCTGACTGGTTTAAGGTGCACCACATATTGCAACAATCTAATCTTGAGGTGACAAAAGACTGGATAAGAGTGGTTTAGAATCATAGAATACCAGGGTTGGAAGGGACCTCAGGAGGTCATCTAGTCCAACCCCCTGCTCAAAGCAGGACCAATCGCCAATTTGGCCCCCCTCAAGGATTGAACTCACAACCCTGGATTTAGCAGGCCAATACTCAAACCACTTCAGTCTACAACTGAAAGGAAAGGTTCCTGTTCCCTAGCTGGATGGTGATGATAAAGAGCTGACTAGTATGCTGCTGTAATGCAAGTGTCAAACAGCAGCCACAGGTGTAGAATTACCACACAAGTGCCAAACCCTGGCAACCAATAGAGTTATAGGTTGTCAATCAGAAAGGCCAAATCACACTTGGAGTTGCAGCTAGCAGGAGTTGTTAAGAGTAACAAGAAGGGTTTCTTCAGGTATGTTAGCAACAAGAAGAAAGTCAAGGAAAGGGTGTGCCCCTTACTGAATGAGGGAGGCAACCTAGTGACAGAGGATGCGGGAAAAGCTAATGTACTCAAAGCTTTTTTGCCTCTATCTTCACGAACAAGGTCAGCTCCCGGACTACTGCACTGGGCAGCACAGCATGAGGAGGAGGTGACCAGCCCTCTGTAGAGAAAGAAGTGATTCGGGACTATTTAGAAAAGCTGGACGAACACAAGTCCATGGGGCTGGATGTGCTGCATCCGAGAGTGCGAAAGGAATTGGCAGATGTGATTGCAGAGCCATTGGCCATTATCTTTGAAAACTCATGGCAATCGGGGGAGGTCCCGGATGACTGGAAAAAGGCTAATGTAGTGCCCATCTTTAAAGAAAGGGAAGGAGGAGAATCCTGGGAACTACAGGACAGTCAGCCTCACCTCAGTCCCTGGAAAAATCATGGAGCAGGTTCTCAAGGAATCAATTCTGAAGCACTTAGAGGAGAGGAAAGTAATCAGGAACAGTCAGCATGGATTCACCAAGGGCAAGTCATGCCTGACTAATCTAATTGCCTTCTATGATGAGATAACTGGCTCTGTGGATGAGGAGAAAGCAGTGGACATGTTATTCCTTGACTTTAGCAAAGCTTTTGACATGGTCTCCCACAGTATTTTTACCAGCAAGCTAAAGAAGTATGGGCTGGATGAATGGACTATAAGGTGGATAGAAAACTGACTAGACCATCGGGCTCAACAAGTAGTGATCAATGGCTCCATGTCTAGTTGGCAGCTGGTATCAAGCGGAGGGCCCAAGGGTTGGTCCTGGTTTTGTTCACTATCTTCATTAATGATCTGGAGGATAGTGTGGATTGCACGCTCAGCAAGTTTGCAGATGACACTAAACTGGGAGGAGAGGTAGATATGCTGGAGGGTAGCGATAGGATACAGAGGCACCTAGACAAATTAGGGGATTGGACCAAAAGAAATCTGTTCAAGGTTCAACAAGGACAAGTGCAGAGTCCTGCACTTAAGACGGAGAATCCCATGCACCGCTACAGACTAGGGACCGAATGGCTAGGCAGCAGTTCTGCAGAAAAGGACCTAGGGGTTACAGTGGACAAGAAGCTGGATATGAGTCAATAGTGTGCCCTTGTTGCCAAGAAGGCCAATGGCATTTTGAAATGTATAAGTAGGGGCAGTGCTAGCAGATTGAGGGATGTGATCGTTCCCCTTTATTCAACACTGGTGAGGCCTCATCTGGAGTACTGTGTCCAGTTTTGGGCCCCACACTACAAGGAGGATGTGGAAAAATTGGAAAACATCCAGCGGAGGGCAACAAAAATGATTAGGGGACTGGAACACATGAGTTATGAGGAGAGGCTGAGGGAACTGGGATTGTTTAGTCTGCGAAAGAGAAGAATGAGGGGGGATTTGATAGCTGCTTTCAACTACCTGAAAGGGGGTTCCAAAGAGGATGGATTTAGACTGTTCTCAGTGGTAGCAGATGACAGAATAAGGAGTAATGGTCTCAAGTTGCAGTAGGGGAGGTTTAGGTTGGATATTAGGAAGAACGTTTTCACTAGGATGGTGAAAAGAAAAGGAGTACTTGTAGCACCTTAGAGACTAACCAATTTATTTGAGCATGAGCTTTCGTGAGCTACAGCTCACTTCATCAGATGTATACCGTGGAAACTGCAGCAGACTTTATATACACACAGAGAATATGAAACAATACCTCCTCCCACCCCACTGTCCTGCTGGTAATAGCTTATCTAAAGTGATCAACAGGTGGGCCATTTCCAGCACAAATCCAGGTTTTCTCACCCTCCACCCCCGCACACAAATTCACTCTCCTGCTGGTGCTAGCCCATCCAAAGTGACAACTCTTTACATAATCAAGTCGGGCTATTTCCTGCATAGATCCAGGTTTTCTCACATCCCCCCCACCCCCATACACACACAAACTCACTCTCCTGCTGGTAATAGCTCATCTAAACTGACCACTCTCCAAGTTTAAATCCAAGTTAAACCAGAACATCTGGGGTGGGGGGGTAGGAAAAAACAAGAGGAAACAGGCTACCTTGCATAATGACTTAGCCACTCCCAGTCTCTATTTAAGCCTAAATTAATAGTATCCAATTTGCAAATGAATTCCAATTCAGCAGTTTCTCGCTGGAGTCTGGATTTGAAGTTTTTCTGTTTTAAGATAGCGACCTTCATGTCTGTGATTGCGTGACCAGAGAGATTGAAGTGTTCTCCGACTGGTTTATGAATGTTATAATTCTTGACATCTGATTTGTGTCCATTTATTCTTTTACGTAGAGACTGTCCAGTTTGACCAATGTACATGGCAGAGGGGCATTGCTGGCACATGATGGCATATATCACATTGGTGGATGTGCAGGTGAACGAGCCTCTGATAGTGTGGCTGATGTGATTAGGCCCTGTGATGGTGTCCCCTGAATAGATATGTGGGCACAATTGGCAACGGGCTTTGTTGCAAGGATAAGTTCCTGGGTTAGTGGTTCTGTTGTGTGGTGTGTGGTTGTTGGTGAGTATTTGCTTCAGGTTGCGGGGCTGGTGGTGAAGCACTAGAACGCGTTACCTAGGGAGGTGATGGAGTCTCCTTCCTTTGAGGATTTTAAGGTCAGGCTATGATTCTATGAATACAAATAGCATATCCACACCATAGTATGCTAAATCTAAACCTGGGTGGTTGCATAACATACCCCTAATATTAACAGGCATAGCGAGAGGCAGGGCTAGCAGGGAAGCTGCCTGGCACCACCACAGGCCAGCCAAGGCAGTAGCACTTACCCATTGTCACCACCAAACACGTAGATGGCATCCCGATAGGCAACCACGGTGTGTTTGCTGCGCCTGAGAGAGAGTCCGTCAGACACTCGCAAGGGGAGACCTGGCCCTGCCCCCACACTCTGACCCAGTCACTCGATGATCCCCTCTCTGCCGGGCCCCCACCCCGTGACCCACCCCCTCTCCGCCGGGCCAACACCCCCTGACCCTCTCCGCCGGGCCCCCACCCCCGACCCTCCCCCTCTCCGCCGGGCCCCCACCCCCTGACCCACCCTCTCTCCGCCGGGCCCCCACCCCCCGACCCTCCCCCTCTCCGCCGGGCCTCCACCCCCTGACCCACCCCCTCTCCGCCGGGCCTCCACCCCCTCCGGGCCAACACCCCCTGACCCTCCCCCCTCCGCAGGGCCAACACCCCCTGACCCTCCCCCTCTCCGCCGGGCCAACACCCCCTGACCCTCCCCCTCTCCGCCGGGCCAACACCCCCTGACCCTCCCCCTCTCCGCCGGGCCCCCACCCACCCACCCCCTCTCCGCCGGGCCCCCACCCCCGACCCACCCCCTCTCCGCCGGGCCCCCACCCCCTGACCCACCCCCTCTCCGCCGGGCCAACACCCCCGACCCTCCCCCTCTCCGCCGGGCCCCCACCCCCGACCCACCCCCTCTCCGCCGGGCCCCCACCCCCTGACCCACCCCCTCTCCGCCGGGCCAACACCCCCGACCCTCCCCTCTCCGCCGGGCCAACACCCCCGACCCTCCCCTCCGCCGGGCCCCCACCCCCGACCCACCCCCTCTCCGCCGGGCCTCCACCCCCGACCCACCCCCTCTCCGCCCCCCCCCCCTCCGCCGCCCCACCCCCTCTCCGCCGGGCCAACACCCCCGACCCTCCCCTCTCCGCCGGGCCTCCACCCCCTGACCCACCCCCTCTCCGCCGGGCCAACACCCCCGACCCTCCCCCTCTCCGCCGGACCCCCCCCCCGACCCCGACCCTCCCCCTCTCCGCCGGGCCAACACCCCCGACCCTCCCCCTCTCCGCCGGGCCAACACCCCCGACCCTCCCCCTCTCCGCCGGGCCAACACCCCCTGACCCACCCCAGCGCTGCCCCGCACACTCGGCTCTGCCCACTCTCAGCCCCACCCCGTCCCCAGGCTGGCGCGGCTCCTCATCGCCTCACCTGGCCCCGACGAACTCGTCGCAGGGCGGCAGGCGGCGCCACCGATGCACCGTCTCGAAGGGCCCGAAGTTGAGGGTCAGGTACTCCACGCTGTCGGAGCAGCTGTGATCGAACTCCACGCTGGGCGCCACCTTGGAGCTCCCGGCCCCTCCGCCCGACGGGGCGCCGGCCGCCGCCATGGCCCAGCTCGCGCGGACAGGTCTGGCCCCCGCCGCAGCCCACGCACATGCGCAGGGGACCGGGCGCTGGGCGGAACAGCGGGAGCACTGCCCCCTGCGGCCAATAACTCCCGGCGTGCCCCGCGCCGTCAGGGAACTACAACTCCCGGCGTGCCCCGCGCCGAGTGCTCGGGGGTTGGTGTCTCCGGCTCTTCGACCCAGCCGGGGCAGCAGCCAGATAGAAACGTCCTCTGGTTCCGCCCACCCCGGCGTCCGCCCCCGTGCCCTGGGCTCCAGCGGGCCCGGCCACCGCGGCGCAAGGGGAGCGGGAGGCGGGGTCGGTCGCTGCTCGGCCCCTGGGGCCGCCCCACGCCGGTGGTGCTGGGAGGGGAAAGACCGCAGCGGGTCAGGGGAGGGAGCTTCAGGCCCTGCTGCAGAGGCCCGTGCTTGGCTGATCAGTTCCTTGGGCAGGACCCTTGCTCTGCCTGTGGCACAGCGGGGCCTGGCTCTGCCTGCGGCCCCGCGGGGCTGTGGTAACAAAGAACAAGCTTGCGGCCCAGTTAAGGGCCCTCATGGGGGGGCAGAGTTCCATACTGGTGATGCAAAAACAACAAGGAATCCTGTGGCACCTTAAAGACTAACAAATTTATTAGAGCATAAGCTTTTGTGGGCTATGATGCACTTCTTCAGATCTATGGAGTGAAGATTACAGTGGGCAGGCATAAATATACAACAGAAGAAAAGATGGGAGTTGCCTTACCAAGTGTGGGTTGATGATTCAATCATAGACTATCAGGGTGCGAAGGGACCTCAGGAGGTCATCTAGTCCAACCCCCTGCTCAAAGCAGGACCAAGCCCCAGCTAAATCATCCCAGCCAGGGCTTTGTCAACCCTGACCTTAAAAAACTCTAAGGATAGAGATTCCACCACCTCCCTAGGTAACCCATTCCAGTGTTTCACCACCCTCCTACTGAAAAAGTTTTTCCTAATATCCAACCTAGACCTCCCTCACTGCAACTTGAGACCATTACTCCTTGTTCTGTCATCTGCCACCACTGAGAACAGTCTAGATCCATCCTCTTTGGAACCCCCTTTTAGGTAGTTAAAAGCAGCTATCAAATCCCCCCTCGTTCTTCTCTTCCGCAGACTAAACAATCCCAGATCCCTCAGCCTCTCCTCATAAGTCATGTGTTCGAGACCCCTAATCATTTCGAGACCCCTCTGCTGGACATTTTCCAATTTTTCCACATCCTTCTTGTAGTGTGGGGCCCAAAACTGGACACACTACTCCAGATGAGGTCTCACCAGTGTCGAATAGAGGGGAACGATCACATCCCTCAATCTGCTAGCACTGCCCCTACTTATACATCCCAAAATGCCACTGGCCTTCTTGGCAACAAGGACACACTGTTGACTCATATCCAGCTTCTGGTCCACTGAAATCCCTAGGTCCCGCACCCGCCCCCCCCGTCCGTGCTTTCGTCCGCCCGCCTGCCTTGTTGACCTCTTCTTGGCCCCCCATGTCACCCTCCCCCCCCCGCCCCCCCCCCAGTAGTTCCGCAAACGCGAGTCAACCCACCCCCCGTCGAGTTTGAACAACCCCGACCCCCCCCCAGCCGTCACAGCGCCTGTCCTCCCTGCCCCAACCACCCCCCCCCCCCCCCCTTAGCCAAGATACAGCCTCAAAAGCCGAAAGAACTCCCTTTTCCCCTCTCCCAGCCGTTACTCTCTACAGTTGTCCTGCCCTTGTTCCCTGCCTTCCTGATCCTTCCCCTATTTAGTTGTTCCTGAGACCGCTCCTGTTTCCAGCATGACTACCCTGTTCCCTCCTCCTTCTTCCCTTTTAAAGCCCGCTTTTCCGGCCCCCCGTCCATTTTCAAAGTACCCCAACCCCCACCCTTACCCCCCCGCGCCCAATTCAAACCCAACCACTCTACACCTCCCCAGGCCCAGGCAGAGCGGGAGCGACCTTGTCAAAGGCAAAGGCAAAAAGCAAAAAAAGCAAAGCAAAAAGCAGTCTACTTTCCCCCGCCTAGGTTGCCCCTCTTCGTAGCCCCCTCCTTGCTTTTTCTTGTTGCTACATACCTAAAACCCTTCTTGTTACTCTAACCTCTGTAGGCAACCCGGGTGTTTGCCCCGATTTCCTCCTGCCCCCAGCATATTTTTTCCCTGTCTTTGCCTCTTCCTTCTTGAGTTGGTAAGTCGCTTTCTGCCCCCCATTACATTCTTTCACCTCGGTTTTGCCCTGTAACCTCAATAAGGTTCTTTAAAATAAGCCCCGGACCCTTTCCCCCAGTACCCAGGGCGCCCGTCCCGAGGTTATCCAGGTTCCCCATGTTATCCCCACAACCCAGGCCAGGGACCAGAAGAAAAAACCGGAAATTCGCCAGAACACCAGGTGATCGGACCCAGGTAAGGGTGGTCGGGAGTAATTTTTCCCGATCAAAACCCAGAGCCTAAAGCCCCTGACATGCCATTGGTCCCTCCCCCCCCCCCACCTGTTCACATAAAACATTACGGTTGCGGGGTTGAGAGGGTGGTCCCTGGTGATCTAAAGGTCGACCTCAGAGCACAAAGCTCCAGGAAGTGTCGTTCGACCACACACCTTGAGTTTTCGCAACCCACCCCCCCAACCTATTCAGGAGGTATCAATGACTATATTGGTGGTTGGTGGGGATTGAGACAAAGGAACCTGGCAAGGCTGAACCCACCACGAGGCAGGACCAGGGCGACAACTCCAAGGAGGGTTCGATAACACCATTAAAATGTTTTGTGGTTATGTAATGTTGTGGTGGGTTGGTTATAGGTGGTAGTTTGGAATTGTTGGCTAGAATAAGTGTAGTGTGATAAAAGTATCACTGCTTGCTCATATAATTAATAAAAATATAATTTCTCTTCCTGAGGAGAATTATATATAAAAAAGAGGAAAATAATAAAATGTATGTTAAGAATTTAATGAAATAGTGTTGGTAGGAAAATTATTTAAGGTGGGTTGTAGATATTATTATGTATTTGTTGAGTATAGAGTAATAGGTTCATTTCTTGGACTTGGGAAAATTTACTTTTGTAATGTTGTTTTAGATATGTTGTATGTTATGTTAGGTGTTTAATATGGTGTGGGGATTTTGTTAGTGATATTGAGGGTGGTCTGACCTGAACTATATGTATATTAGGATTGTCTCTGTTTTTTGTGTACTAAAAGGATAGAATTAGAATATAGAATATCAGGTTGAAGGGCTGAATCATTAAATGGCAACCATTAAATATCAGAGGTTTTCTGATTAAAAATCTAAAAAGTTTACCACTCCTAGTAAATTCATTTTACTCTTATAAAAATTTTTCCTAATATCCAATCTAAACTCCCCATTGAATTGAGAATTATTGTTTGTATTGAATTGAGAAATTAAATCTCTTGAAATTAGGTAGTTGAAAATATAAATCCCTCATTTTCTCTTTGAAAAAATATCTATCTCTATAATCATGTGTTTAGACTAATATTTTGTTGATGTGATTCAATTTTTAATCTTTTCTAGTGTGGGGCCAAAACTGAAATATAGATGGGTCAATTAATAGAGGGGATATTATTGGATTATATAATAAAATATGTTTTGGAAAAGAATGATATATATTTCACCCCTAGGTCCTTTTCCGCAGAACTGCTGCCTAGCCATTCGGTCCCTAGTCTGTAGCGGTGCATTGGATTCTTCCATCCTAAGTGCAGGACCCTGCACTTATCCTTATTGAACCTCATCAGATTTCTTTTGGCCCAATCCTCCAATTTGTCTAGGTCCTTCTGTATCCTATCCCTCCCCTCCAGCGTATCTACCACTCCTCCCAGTTTAGTATCATCCACAAATTTGCTGAGAGTGCAATCCACACCATCCTCCAGATCATTTATGAAGATATTGAACAAAACCGGCCCCAGGACCGACCCTTGGGGCACTCCACTTGATACCGGCTGCCAACTAGACATGGAGCCATTGATCACTACCCGTTGAGCCCGACAATCTAGCCAGCTTTCTACCCACCTTATAGTGCATTCATCCAGCCCATGCTTCCTTAACTTGCTGACAAGAATACTGTGGGAGACCGTGTCAAAAGCTTTGCTAAAGTCAAGAAACAATACATCCACTGCTTTCCCTTCATCCACAGAACCAGTAATCTCATCATAAAAGGCGATTAGATTAGTCAGGCATGACCTTCCCTTGGTGAATCCATGCTGGCTGTTCCTGATCACCTTCCTCTCATGCAAGTGCTTCAGGATTGATTCTTTGAGGACCTGCTCCATGATTTTTCCAGGGACTGAGGTGAGGCTGACTGGCCTGTAGTTCCCAGGATCCTCCTTCTTCCCTTTTTTAAAGATTGGCACTACATTAGCCTTTTTCCAGTCATCCGGGACTTCCCCGGTTCGCCACGAGTTTTCAAAGATAATTGCCAATGGCTCTGCAATCATAGCCGCCAATTCCTTCAGCACTCTCGGATGCAACTCGTCCGGCCCCATGGACTTGTGCACATCCAGCTTTTCTAAATAGTCCCTAACCACCTCTATCTCCACAGAGGGCTGGCCATCTCTTCCCCATTTTGTGATGCCCAGCGCAGCAGTCTGGGAGCTGACCTTGTTAGTGAAAACAGAGGCAAAAAAAGCATTGAGTACATTAGCTTTTTCCACCTCCTCTGTCACTAGGTTGCCTCCCTCATTCAGTAAGGGGCCCACACTTTCCTTGGCTTTCTTCTTGTTGCCAACATACCTGAAGAAACCCTTCTTGTTACTCTTGACATCTCTCGCTAGCTGCAGCTCCAGGTGCGATTTGGCCCTCCTGATATCATTCCTACATGCCCGAGCAATATTTTTATACTCTTCCCTGGTCATATGTCCAACCTTACACTTCTTGTAAGCTTCTTTTTTATGTTTAAGATCTGCTAGGATTTCACTATTAAGCCAAGCTGGTCGCCTGCCATATTTACTATTCTTTCGACTCATCGGGATGGTTTGTCCCTGTAACCTCAACAGGGATTCCTTGAAATACAGCCAGCTCTCCTGGACTCCTTTCCCCTTCAAGTTAGTCCCCCAGGGGATCCTGGCCATCCGTTCCCTGAGGGAGTCGAAGTCTGCT